TTCTCCGCGCTCGCTGTTGTCGCCCTGTTGATGACATCAGCGACGCGGTTTAATCTGGCGCGGATTAGTCGAGTGTGGTTTTGTCGTGCCACGTTTGATTCCAGGGGGATCTTTTTAAAAAAAATAAAATTCCAAGGGGATCTTAACACTGGAAGTCTTTAAGAAGATGTTAGTTTGTCTGAAATGGTATAGGGTTTCCTGCCTAGGCAGGGAGTTGGACTAGAAGACCTCCAAGGTCCCTTCCAACTCTGCTATTGTATTGTATTATATATACCATAGCTATGATGGGGTCCAAAAGCCCGCATATTTGCCTGAATCTCCCCATTTTTCAATACCTCCCATTTTCTGTAGTAGTAATCATGTCCAACTACTGTAGAGTTACATTCAGCCTTCACTGGTGATTTTGGGGGTTGACAGAATGAGGAGAAAACATATGATAGGAAAAGTTTGTTTTGCCCATGGCTTAATGCTCAGAGTCAGTCTTCCCCAAATTTTTCCATCAGAAACATTGGGCTGCAACCCCAACAATTTTCAAACAGCATGCTCAAGTTGAAGAAGGCTGAGATAAGTTTTCATTCCATGTATTTGAAACTGTGATATTTTATAATATGGTGAGGAATATATGAATAAATTCACATTTTTCTTCAAGTTGGGAATTAGTTGGTTCCCAGGTTTATAATTTTGGAATTGAATTGTGTTTTATTATGTATCCCCAGATTTTGGTAATTTCTTTTAATTGTAATGGATTACTGGTTTTTTTTTAAAAATCCCTTCATTTTTATTTTTATAAATAATACAGTGAACATGCCTAATCTTTCTCCTCCTGTTTTTCTTACAACCAACCTGTAAGATGAGTTGGGCTGAGAGACAATGATTGGCTGAGAGTCACTCAGCTAGCCTGAATGCCTAAGGTGGAACTAGAACTCAGTTTCCTGGTTCTAGCCTGATATCTTAACCACTAGACCCCTGATGGCGAACTTATGGCAAGCGTGCTACAGGTGGCACACAGAGCCATGTTTGCCAGCACGACAGCCCTCAGCTCTGGCGCATACAGGATTTTCAGCATTCCGGAGGGCTGGGGAAGGCCATTTTTGCCCTCCTCAGGCTTCAGGAAAGCCTCCTGATCCTAGAGAGGGCGAAAAACAGGCCCAACAGTTCAACGGGCCAACCAGAAGTTCGGTAATGAACTTCTGATTGGCCTGTTGAGCCTGTATTTCACCCTCCCCAGGCTCCAGAGGCTTTCCTGAAGCCTAGGGAGGGTGAAAATGGCCTCCCCAGCCCTCTGGAGGGCTTCAGAAAAGCCTCCAAAACCTGGGAGGGTGAAAATTCCCCCCATGCGGGGGTCGCTCGCGCCTGTGCAGGTGAGTGGGCATGCGCAATAGCATGTGCACCAGGGGTGAGTTCCTGCCAGTTCTAACCTCTTCTGTAGAAGAGGTTCCACAAATCTACCGTGCTGTTTAGAACTGGTTCCAGTTCCCTCCCCCCACCCGTCCGCACCACGCTTTCCCCGCCCACCACTCACTGATTGGCTGGCTCACCAATCATCCTGCCCACCTCTAAGAGTCCTATCTAAAACCTAAAGTCTTAAAGCTGCCAAGTTTGAACACCCCTGGGTTTTTTTTTCTAAAGGGTTAGGGGTGCAAGGGTCTTGTACCTTAACAGCTTTAAGACTTGCACACTTCAATGCCAGAGTTCCTGAGCCAACATTTTGATTGCTAAGCAAGAG